ATTTTACAGGGGGAAATGTAATAGTACATTAGCAGTAAAATATCTGGAATTTGTACAGCTTCCTTCGAAAACTAAAAAATATGTGAGGATTTATTTATTGTACTCACTTTACTCCTGTTGTAATTGTTTTTCTTTTACGACCACTAAGAGTTCAAAATACGCTTTTTCTTGTCAACTACATTTTGTAGTTAGTTGTCCACAAAATATAAACAACAAGTAACCGATCTGTGTGTAATATAAATAAACAAAATATCAATATAAACTGAATTAATTTCTGTGGATAGGACATCGACATCCAGATTTTCATCCCTCTATGCTATCGTGTTAACTGTAGTACGCGTGGTATCCTCATAAATCATTTGTATTAATTGAAGAGAGATTATTTTTTGTTTATACAGGGTGATCCATTAGTGTAAAAATGTCCAATGTCTCCGCCATTATTAGAGGTATAAAAAAATTATATTCACAGAACGGTAGACTGCGTTAAAGTACGTATTTAAAATTTATTTTTGAATATACCAGGTGTTTCATAAGTTTCCTCTTGAATCAAATTATGTTTTTTTAATCAATTACCCTGTATTTTATTTTATATTTGAATTACACTCACTTTTCCCATTGTAAAAATACAAATTAGTATGGAGTTATAGAGAGTATTTCGCAGGATGTGCAACCAGTTTTATATGAAAATCGTATTGATTTCAATGACCCATATCATGCAGAAGAAACAATTGAAAACCAATTTTTCTACTGCCACAATTGTTCAATGATAATTAAATTTTATACAGCAATACCGTTTTTTTCAATTCACAAAAGAAATTAAAATTGCAACCATATGAAACAAATAAAACCTATTAAAGTCTTTGTTTATTATGGTTTATTTGAAAATAAACTAAAGAAAAATGTTTATGACTCAGGAGATAAACCCCAATATAACATCATAAATCAGTAACGGAGAATTTCTAAAAAAAAAATGTTTAGCATTATTTGTTCCAAAATAAAATCTTTGGTTTTCTTCCTAAAATTTCAGAAAATACTAATTTATTTCAATTCTTGTCTTAAATTTTCTATTAATTTAAATCAACAAAAATAAAGTAAGTATTTAATCTCTACAGGTAGAAAATATTTACAATTCACGATTAATTTAATCGACAAAAAAATGTTATGCAGATTGTAAATTATTTTAGTTAAGATTTACATTTCTGTTTGTATAGTGTTGTGATTGAAACACGCAAAATTGTTAGTTCTATAATAATAGGCCACAAAAAGCTATATTGATCAAGTAAAGGACAATGGACAGAAATGTATGGGAAATTGCCCCACTTCCAATAAGGATAAGTTATATATCAATTGAAAGACATTTTTAAGGAGAACATTTTTCTTCATTACGGCTCATCTCAATTACTTGTCCGTTCCGAGTTATAACATCTTAAATGTAACTAATTGCACGATAGGCCAGTGATTATATTCTGTTATTGTAGTGCTTATTACAGGCAAATAATAGTAATTGTTACTTCTTAGTACAATTATAGTATCCGGGTATATCATATGATGCTGTCGAGGATTCTATCCGATACGTGTGTCCCTTACTAAAGGGCCTCTACGTGTTGGTTACACTTTCCTAAGTATGCTTTCCAAAGGACCCAATCCAATAGTTCGAGACCAAAAGGTAATGGACAAAAATAATTGTACAATCTCAAATATAAAGCCATTTGTAACACATACAGGGTGGGGCATCCTATACATGCAGGCCCAGACTATAACATGATTTTTTTCAAATAATTAAAAATATCCTTGGTGTATTCGGTCATTAATTTTATTTTATATCGTTAGCACAGCACTACATATGTTTCGGAAAACTTAATTTCCATCTTCGGGTGCAGTCAAAATTTAAAAACATTAAAAAACACATGGGGACGATTACAAACAGTTTAAAAGTTTTTAAAATAACACAAATGTTAAAAGAGACAAATTGTAGAAAACTCTACATGAATTGACTTCGTTTGGGAGAAGAACAATAAAAAATCTGCGCTCATAGATTTATTTGTTGGAGAAGGCAATATTTAAGGAAAATTAGAAAATTAGAATGAGAAGAAAAAATATTTTTTATTTGGATGAAACATGGATAAATGAAGGATATTTTGTAAGATAAACAGGTTACGAATGCTCATCAGGCATTTGTAGAAGGTTTGTCTACTGGCTTAAAATTTTAAAATGGTAAAGGTCGCCGTTTAATTATCACACATATTGGAGGAGATAAAGGATTTGTTGATAGATGCTTGTTGAAATTTGTTTCAAATTTTACGAAAGACTACCATGAAGAAATAACTGCTGATATTTTTGAGGAATATTTAAGTCCAATGATAGATTTATTACCGACCAATTCTGTAATAGTTATGGACAATGCCAGTTACCATTCAAGATTAAAGGAACCGTTACCTAACATTAAATGGAAAAAGCAAGAACTCTCCGATTGAGTAATAACCAAAGAAATAGTGGCAGAAGAGGGCTTACTCAAAAAAGAGCTATTGCAGTTATCATCGGTATACGGGAGAAAGTGGCCAAGTCCACATAAAGTAGTTTCAAGTAATTAGTATTTTAATATTTGTTTCTGATTTATAAATCAATTATTTTGAGTCAGGTAAGTTTAAAAAGATTTTTATAAAACAATTTAGTTTTTAAAATATATATTTTAAATTAAATATTGCTATACTTAACTTAAACAAACACTAAACTAGAAATTAATTTCAACTTCATAAGTTTATAATGGTTTTTATAAACAGTGCAGTTTCTAGAATATTAAAAAAAAGGCTATACTTAAATAGTAAATTAGCAACTAGTTTCAACTTCATATGTCTTCGTTAGTTTACTCATTGTCTGATAATTCTGGACACTTGTTATGTTGAAGTACCAACCATGGTATTCGATCGGAATTACCTCCTTGTGGCAATATTTAATTAAATAATTTTTTCTTGGTCGATATAGGCAAAGGTTCAATAAAACATTTCTTTAACTCGGTTTCTTTTGGAATATTTCTATGCCTACCTTTTACTTTATCTTTAACATTAAACATTTTGTACTCTTCATCATAGTTGTATCTGAATATTATAATTTTTTTTTCTCTTTTTCGTATCTTAATTGTTTGATCTTTAATCATTCTATTTTTTCTCCCCCTTTATCCCGAATTGTATTTTGTAGTATAGATTTACCAAGTTTCATCAAGTCAATAATATCGCGGTAAGTCATTTGCTGTATAATGTAGGAACCAGAAGTTTTATTTTTGCCTCTCGTGGATCTTCCTAGTGTCATAATTGTCTTCCAATCACTAAGAAAAAACACAGAAACGTTGTTTTTTGTACTTTCAATGGCACTATGCATCAAATCAGTCTCCATGTGCGAATGATCTTTTTCTAAAAAGTTATGAGTAATAATCTATATTGGTAACTGGTTAACTATAAACAAGAAAAGAGCCGCAATATATTTGTTTCGGTTCTGTCCGCCACATGTGTCGCTAAAGATTGACACTTCTTTGACACTATTAGATAAAGTTTTAAACCACTTCAATGAAGCTGTACCTATTTCATTAACTTCCGCGTTTCCTATTTACTTCAGACCAAAGATAACAATATCCATTATTTGGTGGAGGTGCTTCATAAATTGCTAAATTGTATGCAGTTTTCGACTATAGTAAAGAGATGATACCTCGGAGCATGGAATTTGCAGGACACTCTGTAAATCAAAACTTTCTGACACAAAAGTTTCTTCATGAATTGTTCTTTGTTTATTTAAATCTTTTGCTTTGTTAGCATCATTGCTTTGTTTTATGTGAGAAAGAAATTCTTCTGATTTTTTAATAGATTTAGCTTGTTTAACACATAGGACACATTGATCTTCGTTTGGTTTGAAGAATGATAAGTTATACTGTGTACAAAAAAATTTCCCTGAGTCAAGTGAACTTTTCCACGAAAAGAAGAATGAAGTGCCTAAGGATACATTGGACATACAAAGTGATGAAACTTCTAAAAGTATGTGTTTTCGAGAACCTGATGCAGGTCCATCTAATTAAGCTGTTACTACTGATATTAAAAAAAGAAATTTTTTAAAACTTGACAATTTACCCAGAATATTAAACAGATACAAAGTGTCTGATAGAGTAGGTGCAGCAATTGTCTCTGCTCCTCTAGTTGATGCAGGTTTAGTTAATAAATCCGATCAATCCGAAGTCATAGACCAAAACAAGATAAGAATTGCAAGAACCAAGAAAAGAAGTGAACTACAATCAAACACACCAATCCAGTCAATTTGTGGATTATATTTTGATGGCCATAAAGATAAGACTATGGCAATTTCTCTGGATTTAAAACGCCGAACATCTAGTGTAGAAGAGCACATCGTTCTAATCGAAGAACCGAGGTCTTCTTATCTAGGACACGTTTCGCCTGTGAGTTCCAGTGGTGAAAATATTTTTAGAAGCACAGATCAGTTATACTTTTATGATATTTGCAAGTTTGTCTCGACCGGTGTTTGTGACGACAGATTTCTAAACAAAGAACCAGGAAAGTTGGTTCACTCCCGATGGCTTACCACCGCAAATTGTATCCTAAGACTCTATGTGTCGACTCAGGATTCGTCAGATAATTTAAAAATGTTGGCAGAGTTCGTTGCAGAAGTATATCTTTTGATGTGGTTTGCAGTAAAAACCAATCCATCCTGTGTTTATGGTGCAAAACATCTCTTTGATACTAAAGCGTTCAAGGTATTTGCCACTTGAGCTGAAAAATGTAGTCGACCCCGTTATCTAGAGAAATGGTTATTTTGGCCACCCGGAGAATATGCTGTTGACAATGTTGACCAATGAACGAAAAACTATCCGTGAGCTGGCAGTTAGGCGAATTATTAAAATTAGAAATCAAACGGATCTTCACACAGAAGTTCGATAATTCATTTTACCCAAATTTAACTTCGATGCCAAAGACTATTGTGACCTTCTTTAAACTTGACAGGAATTTTCTCTCACTGAACCACCTCTTTTAAAACAAGTATCTGAAGACGATTTGCAAGAAATTGTTAAAGACTACTCCAATTATTTGGTCATTACGGAAATAATGCAGCTCCCTTGTCACACTCAAGCTATAGTAAGGGCAGTTAAACTTGTGACAGTCTTCTTTATTAGTGACTGATCCAATAGGTACGATGGAGTCATTAGAAACACCATTTTTCCAGGGAAGTGATGCCAGTTTAATACAAAAAAATATTTTTTTTTTCTACCAACTAGGTATAAAAACTTTTAATATATTATAAGATTGTAAGTTTTTTTTTTAAGTCTTTTTTTCATCAATAAAAAAGTAATAAAACCACTTTTATCATGTTATATCAATTTAGTCCCTAAAACTTTTTTTGTATGCCTTGCGGAAGTGGAAAAAAAAATTGGAACGAGAAAAAAAATTAACAGTGGTAAACTAAACAGAAACTAAAATGATTACATACTATTACGTTTTTAAAATCAAAACAAAATATATTAAGGGGTTGCGGGGGTGGAAAATTTTTTTTATTTTTATTTTTAGTTATCACGTTCTAAAATCCCTTGTTTTGAGACCTGTTGCATTTCTTTAAGTAAAATTTAATATTAACGATGCACCCTATATGTTTAGTCTTATTTCCTGGGGATTTTTTCCTCTTTGATCTTGAATTGAATTATTTATATCATTTGTACCATGTTCCGTATAGCAGAATCAACCGGTCCATGACTAATCGACAAAATGTTCAAGTAAAAGTTTTTACAGTTTTCTTTTTCTCGATTTTTAACAAATGTATAAATTTTAGAAACATTTTTTGCAGGTATCTGGTTCGTTTTCTTAGGCATTCAGAAGTTGCAATGATATTAATTATGAAATCCTTTTGTCTGTCATAGGATAGACTGATACTCTTTACAGATATTTTGTCGACGATCTGCAGAAAATGTTTCTGTACATTTATAGCGGCAATTATCCCAATTTACATTTCTAAGTGACTTTGCGGACATTTGTTTGCCTATTGTATTGATATACGCTAAACAGGATTTTTTTAACAACTTGTTTTTGTCACGTTTTGTTCCTTCAGGATTTTTTATTATCCATCTGCGTTTTTCTGTAACTTGTGTAGGATTTAAAATAGGTTCATTTATTATTGAAGTGGATGTATTACTAGAATTAGTAGCAAATTCTTCCGGAACATCCACAAGGTCATTAATAATTTCTTGTACATTATTATAATAATTATTCAAACAACTCATTTTACCACTACACATTATTATTGCATTAGTATATTTTTTTAAACTAACTGCCCGATAACAAAATTATTATAATACGCGTAGGTACTTACCAAAGATTAAGTTTAATAACATGCAACACAATTTTATTTTGGTTTAAATAATAATATGATTAGCTACTCCAAACTTAAAACGACATTTAACAACAATAATTATTGGTGACCGTTTTATGGCTCTCTTGATAAATCAAGAGTCAAGTCCTAGATTAACATATTAACAGGAAAAAATTACTTAATTATTAAGTCCACTTAGTCATTTTCTCCTGTACATGTTTTTACAAAATATACTTGTTCATTATGGAATTTAAAATTATAAGCACTGTTATGACATTTGGTCCTTAAAAATAGAATTACATTTCAGGTACATGAGCATTAAAAACAAAAAATCTAGTATTTAGGACTTAGTCACTTTCTCTTCTATACCGACGTTATGTAGATAACATTCACCAAAATTTAAGAAGTATAGTGTAGATGAAATAGCAAAAGAACATGGAGTTAAAGTGTCGCAGCATTGTATAAATATATTTAGTAAGTCAACGCTCGTCACATAGCGGTTCCAAGCGGACAGTAGCGCAAATTAAAAAAAGTCGTAAGCAGAAAATAGTTTTTCCTACGACCACTTAGGAAAGTGACACATATCACACTATATAGTCCTATGGAAAGTGCCCTATATCACACGCGTATGAATAAGAATTTACTTTCCACCCGAGTGAGAATATGTTATTTTCCGCAGTAGTTGTCACAAAATGTCAAACACCTAATTTCTATTTTGATCTATGTAATGTCCATATTAATACTAAAATCGATATGATTGTTAAATTATTGAAATCGTTGTAAATTAGATCCTAGATATTTATCTTTAACAATTATTATTAAAATAATTTTAAAATAATGTTTGCTCTTTATTCTGTTTAAATACATAACTGATTAGATCATTCAATTGACACAAGGGCTATTAGCTCAGATGGTTAGGACGTCGAACTTATCAACTTTGCCATTTTTCGAACGCGTTCGAATCCTGGCGGGGCAGAATTTTTTTTTGTTTTTTTTTATTTTTTTTTATTTTTTTATTTTTTTTATTTTTTTATTTTTTTTTTGTTTAGAAAATATGAAAATTGAATAAAACGATTATTGTTGAATATTTTTTTAAACACATTTTAATTATTATAGTAATAATAACCTTGGTTTTACATTTTTTTGATGACATTATTTTGTGGTCGTAGGAAAAATATTGTACATCACTTGTGTGAAAAGTGATTTTCCACACTAGTGTGATAGCCAATATTTCCCACTCTTGTGAAAAATGTCACTTTCCACACTCGTAATGTAATATACTATTCTAGATGCCGGTAAAAGAAGTTAGGATTATTTGTTCAACGTTGTTCAACGTTGTCATTTTGCGAATTTTTTGGATCGTACATCGTCTCTATTTAACAAAACTGTCGAATAATATTTTACCAGCTTTATAATTGCGATTTATTGGAAGTCGCTTAGATAATCTTTAAGTTGGTGGTCTACTATATTACGCATATTTCATGTTTAGCGTGAATTCAATCCATCGGTAGGTATTTAACATTTTTGTCTTTATGTAGGTAAATCGCTAATTTTGTCATTCATCTTTGTATAAATATGATGGAAATAATAAAATCGTATGAATGTTTGTTATCCAGGACCGTAATTTACGAAATTATTATACTTATAGTTTTTAATAGAATGTTGGTAGGTAGTTTGGATAAAAAAAATGGTGATATAAAACAATGGTGATATAAAATAATATTATAATTAATAAAAGACAAGATTTTTAAATAATCTAGAAGTTATTTATTATTAAATAATAAATGTATTATTATTAAACATTTTGTTAGGTATAATAAGTAGGTACATTAAAAATATAAGGAAAATGAGGAATTAATTTATTTATGTATTTTGCACTATAGACAACTTTACATTTTTTACTGGCTTGAAGTTTCCTCGTTTTCTTTACCGCTTCTAATTTGGACCGGTTCTTACAATATTTAAAAATTTTAGTGTTGTAATTAATAAATCTAACATATACTGTATGTGTTCCACACAGTTACTATTAAAATTACACTATTGTGTTAAAAGTGATTTTATTTTTTCAATTATAATTTTTCGCGAATTATAAACATTTTTTTGGTAAAATAATCTTCTTTCTTTTGCGTGATAGTTTGTAACGATATTCTAGCAAATTGGCCCAATAGTGATGATGGGCATTTTAGCCCAGATTGCTTATTTAGATTATAAGTTTTATAAAAAATGATTGGTCATCATTCAAAACATTTTCTTTTTCATCGAAATAATTTTGACACATTTAATTTTTTTACGCATTTTTTTATTAAAAATCCGGCAAAAGTACATAGTGGAACATTCTTCTAATGTTACAGGAAGCGTCTTCTCTAATGAAATATTGATTTCAGAACTCCTATTGTATTCTTCATTATCTGTATCTCATCATTATGAGGCTCTATTAAAAAAGTTTAAAGCATTACCAGACCCCAGGAGATTTTGGTCTTCGTCCTGATTAATTTCCGAATTTGCTTTAAGTGGAGGCCTCATGAAATTATGAACGATATTAAGCTTAAAAGCTGCTTTGAAACCCATAACAGTAGGATTTCGATTATAACTCCCTTTCTGCCTATAGACAGAAAATTGTGTTTCTAATGGTTCCTAAATTAGTCTTCCTTTTAATACATATTTAAGTTGAGTTTGCGTAATAATATAGGAATAAAACTGTAACGGCATTTATGGTAAGAAAACTATCGAATAAATCAGGTCTCGTTAATTTACCTTTGGCAGTTTATTTAGTTACATTCTTTAAAAGTTCGTATCCTTGTGTAACATCATTAAAATCACCTCTTTATTTACTTTGATATATTTTTAAATCCAATGAAAACAATACCTACAGAGTGGAATAAAAATGGAAACTTTCATTAAGTTCATTCTGCCATCTATTTTAAACTAGCAGAAGGTCCAATCGTATCTAGCATAAAGAGACTCAATTAGACTGGCCATCTGGTGGTGGCCTCCTTTTGGTATCAAACAAATAAATGCATTGGGCTGACCTACTAGGACTACTTATACAATGGTCGCAGTTACCACCTTATCACTGTGAACTTAACCTCATTGAACTAATCTAGGCTCAACAAATGAAGGGATATGTCGCGAGAAACAATACAATATTTAAACTTTAAGGTGTTTGTCAACTATTGTCATAGCAGACAATTGGCAAAACGCTATAAGACATGTCATAGCAGAGGCAGAGAAATTCTGGAAACTTGATATGTTAATAGAGGAAACAATAGAAACAATTAATATTTCTATGGGATGTGAGGAAACTGATGATGATGACGACGACTCCTTATCGGGAGAAAACGATTTATATATTTAGGTATGTAATTCTATATTTATATTAATTATAATAAGTTTATATGACGCTAGTACCCTAAATACAAAAAAAGCAAATTTATATGGAATCAGTCCGTATTTCTAAAAACGACATATGAGTGTTTTACGAGAACCGATTTTTTTAGTATATCATATAAGTTTGGTTGTGTGTATATTTTCTATTAAATTTTAAAAAATGTTCTAATCTAATATCTAGTATAATATATTTATAAAAATAAATATGGGTACCTAATATTGACAGTTTGCTATTTTTTATATTAAAGTAATTTCGTGTTCTCCGTGACTAAGGTATAGAATTATTGGTTAATTTCTTAGGGTTTGCTAATTTGCATTTTATGATGTATTGTATTCGAGATTTTTCGGGGTGGTCACTGGTCATACTAAAATCTAGTGAACATTTAAATAAGAATGTATCAATATTTATTTTTTTTCTGCTTTGAACAATCCT